TGAATTGCCTTCGCAATTGCAGAACCGTTCGTAGACATGAGTATGTTCCCGTATTTGTTATACTAGTGCAGTAAGTTGTAGAGACATTGTTCAGTTGAAAAGACGGTAATGATGACGATAAGCCTTGTTTAAGTTGTACCGGTTCATCAACTTTCCACACGTAATCTGAAACAAAAAAAGAACAATTTTCAATATAAATTCCTACTCCGAGGCAAGATAATGCAGCGACTTGAAGCAGCATTGCTGTTTTTTGACGACTCTAGGGATCGGACTTATTGAGTCCGACCTGGTTCAATTCTTTTTCGACTACTCCTTGACTACTAGTGGCACGGCGTCTTTCTGTGGGCTTGATCAACAATATGCACATACCCACTTCTGGCCACAGTCCCACTTAAAGGACGAATTCACGATGAAAAAGCAACCCATTTCAAATTAACCTAGGGATGGTGAGTGGTACACGAAAGAAGGAAGAACCATGAGAAACGGCCCAGAACCCGAGAAATGGACCCCTTCCTTGCCCGTTGATTTCGAGCATTGATGCGACTCTCATCGCTGTGCCCTCTTCAACACTACGCTCTCTCAGCTATCTAATCACTCGCCACGTATTGAACTACGGCGAGTGATCAGATGATCGGTGGGCGGAGATCGCCGGACCCGCCAGCTTTGAGGCATGATAGGTCGCCGAGGTCAAATTTTTCCATGCGAATTGCGCGTCAGTTCGCACCCTCAGGAGGTCCGTGGGTCCCTCAACTAGGTCAGTTTCCCTTTCTTCGACCTTCATTCTAATCGTGAATTCCTCCTTTAAAGCGATAACCATGCACTCAACTACTGTGGTTCTTCACCGAAGAATGAAAGCATTGATGCGACCAGCAAACGAGTCGGCAGTAAGCAAAAAAGGAAATAGTACTCGAAAGCGCTGGCGTTAAGGGCTTCCCTCACTTTAGTGTCAAGTCAATGAGAGAGTGAGCACGGAGGAGAGAGGATTGGCGAGAGAATACAGCGGATCACAGAGCGCCGACATGAGCATGCTGCGAGCAAAAAGCATGAAAAGCGGTCGTAGTGGTGTTGAAGGCCTCAGCGTCCTTTTACAGCACTTCAGAGTCCGATTAAGATGACATTCTGCGATATTTGCTCCACAGTTCTTTCCTGCGCACAAAGAATTCATGTGCCACGCTAAAGCAGCTGGTGGCTTGGGGACTCAATAGAACCGAATCATTTACCACTAGCGGTATTCTTGCAACCCTCAATACTGAAGCTCAAGTGTTGGGCTACTGTTGGACGCGGTGGTATGGACCAGAAGGTGTCACATCATCACATCCATAGCCCAATGGATCAAACGTCGCCTAGGCCTATTATCGCCCCTTGTAATCCCAGGGTGAGATCAAATAGCCGCTTGGCCACACTAACCTAGGAGAATTGAGAACTATTACGGGACCGATCGTTGTTTCTGGGCTTGCATAGGCTATAGCAACTTCATATTCCTCTGATAGGGAAACTGATACGTGCGAGTGTACGGTGGATAGCGTGTTATGAATGCCACTGTAAACATGCTATCTTATACATCAGATAAATATTGATTAGTTTACCTATATCTTTGGTAGTATAGGCATACGAGGCAAGATCAATGAAACACTGTTGAACATCCATAGGATAAAACTGAAAATTACCACACTGTAAACTATTACTAGAAATCTTTTTATTTTTATAGAAATGAATTGAAATGGGTCTTCAAAAATGGTTCAAATGTGAGCTCACCTGTAAGTGCATGGGACAAGAGAGCACTAGCGATATGCGGACTGAATAGAGAATAGTGCCATCTTTGTGAACTCGTATTAGCACATTTGGCTTATCGATCATGTGGCTTATAAGCTTGGTTTCTCGTTCTGAAAATCGATTTGCTGGTACGACGATTTTTACAGTCAAATAATGATCAATTAAATATTCTTAAGCAACAGTATTGGCAGCCAGCCAATTTCGGCTCGTTTTTGTGTGTGAAGGAAGAGCCACTCCAATCCTCAATTTTTTGTGACCATTTTCTTAACTTCATAAATTTTAGGGGAGTGGAAACTTTACCGCGGTTCTGCGGTATGGCGTGGCATCGCTTTCAAACACGCAGTACTGCAGAAGCTGTTATTGTTAAAATACGACCCTTTTTTGGGGATGCGCCACGCATTCTACTTCCATTAGGAATTGTAGTTGCATTTAAATGGAATCTGGCTTAGGAAATGACGGACGACAGCCAGCCAAAGTACAAGTCAGCGTTTTTCCTCTCAAACTAGTCTGGAACCAACTAATCGATGCCAGAAGGGAGCCTTGGTTGTTTCTGGGCAAGTAATTTCGACTCGAAAACTATGTGTGGGAAGTACATAGTAGGCTACTTGCCAGCACTTCACCACCGCTCTCACATGCAGGATCAGTAATTCTAATAAGAAAGCCTGCGAAAAACACGAATAATAAGCGATCAGTCGAATGGAAAAGATATTATTCGTATCAACGTATATGAAGTCGCTCAGTCACGATCGCTGGTTAGGGGCGAACTTTCGGTACTCAAACGTGTGGCAAAACCCCGTGGGGTTATGTTCATGTTGCTCTCCTTCACGATGATGGTATCGGGACTCACTGGACTTCAGTACCCTTTTTCTATGGCGTAATATACTCATACTTCGATCCTATGCCTCCAAAGAAGAACGATGTGCTGATGTGCTCGAAAATAAGGGAGACATAGCAATTCGTCTCTTACATTGGCTCACCCTAGCGATGTTCCGAAGCTTGACACTTTTTATTGTTTTGATTCAATCGGAATCTGTTTACACTATGAACTCATTTGCAGTTCTCTATTCCTTTAGACCGACACTCTAATTCCTGCAGGACTCGATCAGTGGAATTCCGTTTGTAATTACCTGAAAAAACGAATCAGGCATCCAAATCTGCTGTCCGGCAGTGAGAATCAGAAATTCCGGCAAATCATCGGTACTCACGCCGTATCTGAAATTGTTCTCGTTTTTTTCTTGGAATACCACAACATGTGGAAAACGCAACGGAAGCTTAGAGGAAATTCCACAGGATTTTCTAGTGAAAACAGCTTTCATCGCTATTCACCTTCACTAGATCAACTCCTATAAAAAAATCTCTGAATTTTCATCAGGAATTGTTCCCAGTTAGGTTTTTGTAGGTGTGTCACAATTTGCCGCCAAGGGTAGTTTCACACATTGAAGCAACAACTCCAGATGGAATCAACGGTCAACAATGAAACTGTGGGCGCCAAGTTGACTGAAAATCATGAAAGAAGCAAAGCATCCCTCTCTTCCCAGCTGAAGTGAGGAAGAGGCGCATCCGACGAGTTGTCTGAACTTGCTTGCTCCATGGCTCCACTAACCCGCGCGTATTTGAATTAGCCGCTACGTCGTAATCCACGTTGCGTGTCATGGGGTGTGCGCGAGGTATCTCGTCCATTAGCTCACATTAGCCGTCATTAGCTCACTTTGTAAGACCCTAGCGCCATTCTCGCGCTTTTCCGAGCCGCCACAAAATTGCTACTCGCGGAGTACCCTATCTTCCTCACAGACATGATCTCATTTGGGGGTGTTTTCAAGCACGTGTACGACACTCATTCGGTATCCGAGCTCCAGGCGCCTGCAACGAACAAATTTAAACGGTTCAGACAATTCTAAACGCCATGTTGTATGTAGAGGTGCCCCATCCAATGTCCTGGGCAAATTTCGTTCCACATCAAGACCAATTTTATGAACCCTAGCCAGAGCAATTCTAAGAAACGGTACAGGACTGTAAGAAGAAAAGTTCTCGTTAGTGCGTAGCGAAAACATTACCGGTTATAATTCCCTTCAAGATGATATCGGAAATGGCATAATGGCTACTACGGTGCGAAACACCTGGGACGGTAGTAAACTACACTAAACTAGCAATCAAATGTGGTGATTTCCCCATTGACGAGGAATAAGGACGTGGAAACATGGACATGACCCTCTTGAAACCGCCAGCCTCGCCACACTACCTGCAAAACTTGCGCCACTCTCGGACTTGAACCCTGGATGACAGGACTCATAGCCGGTTTTTGCACCAGGGATCACTCGATCACAGCATCGGAAGAGATCTTGACAACAGGTAAGCAACGGATGTTGTTTGCAAATCTTAGACTTCAAGCGGTGTTGATCCAGCAACCTTGCCAGCGGCAGCGTGGAACGTTCCCATTGAGCCATTGGCAATTTGCCATAGGTGGAAGTGGTGAGCATCCACCACGTTGCTTGCAAAAGTTGCGTCACACACGGGTTTGAACCTTCGGTGCACCGTCCCATGAGCGGCATCGCTACCACTGCACTATGGAGCCCTTCTTATGACGGTGAAAGGGTTGTAGAGAAAAGGGAATAGCCTACAAAGGTTGCAAATTCGGACTTCCCGCAGTATTGATCCCGTGAGCAATCCACACAACGTAGCGCAGCGCGAATCATTCACCTATTCAATGCAATACGCTCCCTTCCTTTTCAACAACTATGCTCTAACCCGCACAGATTGAAGTTTGATTGGGGTTTTTTGAAGATGGTCCACATTCGATGTGGTTGCATGCCTGCGTCTGCGCTCTAGGGCCACATTCTGGGTTCTCTAATGTTATTTCTTAAATAGCGGCGCTGCCAGTCCTTTTACAGCCAAACCATGTAATCACCAACTTCCGAATGAGTTCGAACTCACTTTGACCCTTCTGACAGAGAATCTTCGGAGGAGTTCCAGAGGTCTTCTACATGTTTTAAAAAACTTCGGATGGAACCCTTCACCAAGTTACCACAAGCGTCTGGTCACATGGTAACTAGCAGCTGAGAGGGACGGGTTATTACGCAACCCGGCAATTCAAATGATGTGCATAGTATACGCGCCTTGGGACGCTGAGCTCAAATATGTGTTCCTTATCTGCTGAACTCTTCTCTGAAAGGAATTATGAAGCAGAAAAGCGCAGAGGCAGTGGTCGAGGCTCACGAAAAAGAGGTCAGGGGATCGACTCCTTGGCGAGTTTGTTCTTTTGCCGTTTGCAGTAAGATAGCTAGGAAGATCCCTAACATCGGTAGTTGAACATGCTTGCGTACTGTGGTTAAGAGTACAATGATTTAATGGAATCCTCCACGGAAAGCTCCGCCCTCATTACCACAGAAAACGATACCTTAAAGGAATCTTCCACGGAAAGAGTGATCATTTTGTCTTGTGTGTAGGATTAGTATTATCGAAACTAACGCTTATGTTCCGTTCTTTTTGCTATGCTCATGAGGCTAGGGGCCTAAGGTATCGTTTTTCTGTGGTAATGGAGGCGGAGCTTTTTTCGCGGAAGATTCTTTAAGGGCAATAATAAGACTTTGGGGCAGGCTCGCTCCTCATTACGTTGGGCGCTGTGTAGCGCAGGGCGCCAGCATTTTATGTTAGCAGGTGTGATAGAAACGAAGGGGGATCGAGCCGTACCCTTACTGGAGAAACAAGACCGACTACAGTGGGACGAGGCTCACCATGACTGGTCGGGACTTCGATTCGGGACGTGTTATAAAGGGAGCTAAAGGTGATTGCAGGCCAGACAGCGAATTTGGCGGAACAAAAACTCTGTAACTCTTTTCAGAAAGGTTGAGCAGATAATGAAGCAGATTTGAGGTTCAGGTCTCTTCTGGTCGATATGCTCATTTCTTGGCGCGGGGTGGCAAATAGACCTTCCTGGTGAGTCGATTCTACTGTCCTGCCTGCTCTATATATGAGCGAGAATAACTCAGCCGTTCCGAGCTGAATTAATGGTCCCCACTCAAGAAACCAAACCAATGGGAGAGCACAAAGAAGATCGAACTTTCCTGGAGAAAGTCAGCAAGTTCAATGGGAGCTTGCCATGGGCAAAAGGAGGAAATACTGGGAATTAAAGCACCAGTTCAATACACATTCACGAATTTAGGGACAAACGTAACAACGTTCCAGTAATGGGAGCGGTGGTTGGAGCAGTGACTTCGAAATTAGGTTAGGGGGCATGATACATTCTCCAAGAGAGAAGCTTTGCCCTTAGATGGCACAGCACTGTATTTTTGGAAGCACAAAAAAGTAATTGGAGTGTGAAGAATTTCACAATAATGTTCTGCGAGATTTCACACTCTCATCGGAATCAAAGCAAAAGCGTTGGCCACTTAAAGGCACATCCCATGATAAAACTTGTGTGGTTCTGGAAAGCAAAAATGAATGCAGGATGCGAGTGGGAGCGGTAGTGGAAAAAAGGAAAAGGAATTCAAAAAGAAAAAACGCTTATTTTTGTGGTTCGGTAAAACTTAAGCGATGAGGCGCTGAGCGCGGAGAAGAAAGAATAGGCAAGGAGAGCACAGCGAATGAGAGGGGCGCCAGTTGTAAAAGAGGGAAAGTGAAAGCGGTCGAGACGGTCTTGGAAAAGCTCTAGCGCCCTCCCTGCGCAGTTTCGAACAGGAAGAATTGGTCATTTGCAATTCGACGAGACGTGTCAAGATCCAGCTGGGATTTTGTACGGAAATCAAACCAGAAGTGCGGAGTGGAATGTTAGAGGGTAAAAAAGCAAAAATAAACATGGAGGTCATCAAAAATTTCCTTCGGAGGTCGAAATATGTATGACGGAAAGACACAGCACCGGAAAGAGAGGGAAATGGGAGAATCGTCGTACGCGAGAGGGCGCAGACGCCGCGTCTGCTGCGCCTGGTAAGGATGGCAGCTGCGAAGAGAAAGCATGAAGACCTTGCTGCGCATTTCTTACCAATAAATTGCTTCAACTTCCTATAGAACGAAATGAGACCGGAATGAATCGATAGAGCCCATAAACGTGAAGACCAAAACTGCCACGTGAACAAGGAAGTCCTTAGCCA